TTTAAAAAAAAAGAATAATCAATCATTCTGGTGGGTTTGTTAACTTTAACATGTAGATTCCACATTGGTATGATTTGCATAATTAAGGACTTTGCTGTAGCTTTCTTTTAGTTATGTTTCATATGTTAGCTGTCTGATCCCACTACATATGTCTGCATTTTCTGAAAGCTGCCTTCCGTGAAATTTTAAACAAAACCATGTTTGCATTGGGAAAAAAGTGAAATGGTTTGATAAATATCACTTTTTTTGTCTTTCTTCTCCCTATAGTCACTTAATATTATGTTTGCCCTTGTTCAGTCTTTGTTTATAGGTGTGTGTGACAAGCTATGGGTTTGTGTTCACAGCATACTTCTCAACACTCTGCTTAAGTGTATATACTTCTTTTTAATGCATTTTTATATGTCAAATTTATGTCCGTATAAAAGTTCAGGCACCCTGCAGAAATGGAAAGTTCCAATGAATGCCTAAGTGAACAGAAGCCAAAATAGCCTCCACATCAGGAGTGTCAAATGCAAGGCCTGCGGGCCAGATCTGGCCTGTAATGGGTTAGATCCTAGAAACATCAAAGGCCCAGCCCATGGCACCTCAGCCTGGGCCAGGCTGATGGGTGCTGATCTACAACCTGGTGGCAGCCATCCCAGCTGGAACTTGGTTGGCCTTAGATCTTGGTGGGACCATCCTGAAGCCAACAAGGGGCCGGCTCCATCCTGCCCCCTGGGTCTGCACAGAGAAGGAGGTGAGAACATGTAAAGTCTGGCGTCCCCAGGGACTGTCTTGCTCTGCAGGCTGAGTATGTTCTAAGGTCTTCCCTTTCATCCAGAATGTCAGTGCTCACTTTTATCCACCACATGAATTCAGCCTTTGTTCCTGACAAATGCTCTTCCCTGTAGCGTCTCCTTAAGTCTCAGTCTCCAGGTGTGCCTTGTGAAGAGGGGTGGAGCACTCTCCTCCTGAGTTGTTGGGTCATACCATGTTGTTCCCACCTTCTCTCCACTCTTGGTGCTCAAGGATCAGGAGGGAGGATCAGGAGGGATCAGCTTATCGCCTGAGTTCTGTCTTTCATGTTTACTGCTTAGCTTCTCTTGGTCATTACGCTCCCATTCCTCCCTGCCTACAAGCCATCCCAATCCTGAAAGACCCTGGCCTGACTTGGTGTGCTGGTCCCCACATTCCTCT